GTCTGTCCGTCTGTCCGTCTGTCCGTCTGTCCGTCTGTCCGTCTGTCCGTCTGTCCGTCTGTCCGTCTGTCCGTCTGTCCGTCTGTCTGTTTGAGACTGACTGACTTACAGTGACTATCTATCTATCTGTCTGTCCGTCTGTCCGTCTGTCTGTCTGTCTGTCTGTCACTTTTTAAAATGCCCATCCGCATCCTCTATGTCTCAGTTGTCATCGCCAGTTCAGTGTCTTAATTTCTTCTTCTATATTCTTTCTCTCATTCCTTTTTGAGCAATCTTCTGATTCTGAAGCCACGGTGGCGGCCACGCATGCGCAGGGGTGGTCCCGTGTGTTCCATGGAAATTCCCCTTTTGTGATATCTTGTTAAGCCAATCATGTTCTTTAAGATCAGCRGAATCATATTGCAACTCCCCCGTTTGTGATGCCGATCTTACCAGCTTWTTCTGGCACGCGGATCATTTAAAAATTTTTAGATTCTGGATCCGCCMCTGAGCCATTACCAACCTCTTTTATGACAGTCGTCAAGCAGTAATGTCCTTTTTATTTTGCATTCCCTACCACTTTGAGTGCGACTACAGGAAACGATCAAAATTTAAGACCAACTTCCCTCGACCAATGAAAACTAACAGGTTTGACCGGTTTAATATGATCGACTTTGTCTAGACTGGCATATTCTACATATACATATATATAGAATAGTGATGGAAATAGCAAATAAACTAAGGCATATASGATTTTCACTACAGCGCTGTTTCACAGAGAACCGCAAGGCTCTCTCCCCTCAGGTGAAGTGAACTTTAATACAAGCTTGTCGGTCTTATAGACGAATGCATTACAGAGATTTCATCAAAAGATATTTTGAGGAATGCYGGCATACATATACATAAATACATATGCATATACATATACATATATCTCACTGCAGACTGTCGAACTCGCAGTTTATTGCATGCAAGACGTCAAAGACATATATCAAACGATATCTACATCTACTACTCATTCCATGGGCAGTCAAAATTTCTCTACACTCATTGACAACAACTGCAAAATTTATTGACTAGTTTGAAAATCTTCGTCATATGCAACGAAGAAATGGATATCTGATTCGGCGTGCAACCAGAAACTCAAGATAAAAGGTAAGATGTTTCGGAAATTTTTTTTTTTTTTTTTGTATAAACCGATAACGCCTCACTTGCAAAAGTTCTGGCCATGGCATTTGAAGGAAAAATTAATCAAGTTTTATCGCCCTATATATACTATTATCCGAATTGAAGGTTTTGAAAAACTAAAGCTCGTTTGATTCTTTGGAATTTTACTGCATGCATTTTGTGTGGCTTTTCTGTTTCAAAATTAAGTTCGTTTTCTTGTCTTGTCATTGTTATATAATTTTTTCTCTCTTTCTTTTTTTTTTT